TACTATACAGTATATAGAAAGCGATAAATTGCGGGAATTTAAAGTCTAAGCTATTACAAATAAGTATTCGGGGATGGGGGTACAAATATTTACAAATAGGGATGAGTCTTATCAGGATAGTATTGTCCAAATAATATTTACAACCAAATCGAATCGCATTCTCAATGTAACATGTATCAATGTATAAGAATAAAAGCAATGTATCAAGAGTGTTTGTGAAAGTGTATGTGATTATTTACAAGTGAGAAAAGTATGTTAACTTAATGCAATATTAAGTATTTTATTTATTTTTGGGTTTTTGTTATTTTTTTGTTAATATTATATATAAACAAAAGTTTTAATTAAAAGAAAAGAAAAATGTTTGTGTATTTTAGTTAATAGTTTTATGTACAAAATTAAAAAAGAATTTTAAGACAAAAATCTATTAACTTAATTAAATCTAAAGTTTACATATTTTTAAGTGCAATAATAAAAAGGTATTATTAATAAAAACTTAATGTGAACAATTAATTTATTTAACAAAATAAGTTATGTAAAAAAAGATGTAATGTGATAATAAGAAAAAAGAGTATTAGTTAAAAGAGGAATTGAATGGGCTTTAGGGGGTCTTATTCTGGACCAAACAAAAATAGGCAGGTTTAAGGAAAAGAGGGGGTATGCACACTGGAATTGAAATTGGGCTTAGGCAGATATGAGGGAAAGCCCAAACGAGTTTGATAATTGTTTAGGGTTGAAATGTTGCTTTCAGAACTTAGGGTTTACAGAGTTACAGGCTTAGAGCAGCGCCGTTCCCTTCATCGTCTTCTTCGTCTCCTTGAGCCATGGATTCTGACCTCCTTCCCTGCCTGGCCACCGGACGCAACCTCCAGCTTATCCTCTCTTCACGGCTTGCTCAAAGCGGTACTTCAAAGAGGGTAACGATTTTTTTCCTTTTTTACGTTTTAGGTTTTGAATATTATGCATGTTTTTAGCTTTTTTATGTCCTGATCTTTATTGTGTTATTATCTGTGTCTTGTGAGATGTAAAAAGAAAAGGGAAAAGGAAAAATATACCGTTACTGGCCTTTGGAGACGGAGGAGGAGAGGTGGATAAGAGATGTCCTCAGGCGGCCAGGCGGAGGGAGTACGAAGTTGAGCTTGCTGGAAATCTGGTACTTGTATCTTTTAGCTTTTTGATGGTTTTGTGATGATGTTTTTCTGAAAGCCGTAGATTGTTCACTTCTACATCTTTTTCCTCTCTTTTGCTTGCTTGCTTCTGGATATTAATGATGATAGCTCTGAGATATCTTGTTGGTTTGAATGCTTCAGTGTCTGATTTCTGGCTGCTTGAATGCTTGTCTATTTGCTTCTTTTCCTCTTCTTCTGTTTGCCTCTGAGATGCTTGTTGAAATGTTGATGCTGATTTTGAGATTTGGATTTGTGTAGCCTATGAGGAAGTTAGTTCTGAGGGTGGCCTGTGGTTTGAAACAGGTTGTATGGCTTTTTGGCTTTGACAGGCTAAAGGTTTAGGCTTTGGCTTGCTTTTTTGAAACTAACAGTTTGACAGATTTGTGGCCATTTCTGGTTTGAAAGCTTAAGGTTTAGGCTTCAGGCTTGTATGGCTTGATGTATCATGCAGGTTTGTGGCCATTTCTGGTTTTGACAGGCTTCAGGCTTGAAGTTCTTGACACAGGTTTTGAAAGGCCTTTTGGGATTTTGGCTTGTCTGTGTTATGCAGGCCTGAGACAGCTTGTTTTCTGGTTTTTGTATTGGTTTTGACAGGTTTGGCTTTTAGGAAGCTTTGAGGCTTATGCTTAGCAAGGCTTAAAGAGTTTGAACAGGTTTACAAGCAGGAGGCAAGCTTTAATTGTAGTTTTGCTTCAGGCTTCTGTTACAGTTTGTAGCCTATGCAGGTTAAGGCTTGAGGTTACAGGATTGCTGTGATTTTTGCTATCTTACAGCTTTGTGGTATATTGTTTTTGTGATATTCTGCCTCCTCTTTTTCTGTTCTGAACTGTTTGTTATATCCTTTAAGCCTAAGCCTGTAAGCTTGTTCTCTCTCTCTTTTCTCTTTCCACAGTAAAACATATTATATTGTTTAAATCTGTACTTTCTGAAAAAGTGATTGGCTTGGAAAATGATGTGATTTTGAATTGTTTGCTTGCATATTAGTTTTGCTCTGCATATCTCTTATCTTCTTTTCCAGATTTTCTGCCCTTTGTGTACTTGTTGATAGCTTTTGGCTTTTTATATCTTTCCATATCTTCTTTGGACAACTTTGGACAGTTTTAGTTGACATTGGACTTGGTTTAGTTTCTTTGACAGTTTGTTTGCTCATGTTGAAAATGCATTTTATGCAGCTTGTTTGCCCATTTTTAATTGGCTTGCCTCTTTGGTTGAAAACTTGGAATTATGAACTATGCAGCTTTGTATTAATTCATGCTTGCATACATTTTCTATCCTTCTTTGTGAACCAAGAATTTTCTTGTGATTTGCAGAGAGGGTGAATAACTGATTCCGGCCAATCACTTTTAATGATGAGTTTTAAAATATATGTCTGCCTTTTTATTTCATCTGCATTGACTTCTTTTCTTTTCTTTGTTTTTGCAGATAAAAATTAATTGAGCAATGGGGAGCATCAGTAGAAGATGAAGATTTCAAGACATTTAGGACATAGTTTTATTTCAATTTTAATCACTTGTAATAATATTAATGTAAATAACTGTAAATAAATTTACAGTATTCAAATAATATCTATAACAAACAATTCGAAATGAATAAACAAATCTTTTTTGTCAGATTTCTGTTTTATTTCTCTTCAATTGTTTATTTAATTATTTAAGCTTTCTTGAATTAAAATAACTGGAAGTAGATCCAATTATTCTAACTTAGATAAAATAAATAATTAACAAACACTGTAGTCTTGAAATCAATAAGCCCGGCGTCCCAATTAAACATAAGCAATGCACAGTTAAGCAAACCAACGTCCATATGCTTATCTCTTTACTGATTATACCAAACACTGCAAGTTCTCAATTCAAATGCCTCAGCTCATATCCCAGAGTAAATTGAAAAGAACTATAGAATTAATTATTTCTGAGAATGCGCGCACAAAACCTAGTTCTTGATTTGTTGTCAAAGAAGCGCATGCCTGATCAAACCCTGAGCCAAACTCAACCAAACCCTAATAATCTACTTGAACTGTTCCAGAGTCCATGAAAACCCTAATTTGGATAAACTGCTAAGAAAAAGTCGGTTTGACTGATTCTTACGCCAATCTGAAAAGTCAGGGAAAACCCGAAGCTGTGATTTCTTGTGGAAAAAATAGGAGGGAAAATTTTGGGATACAACAGACAGTATATGCTGACCCATACTACCCTGTTGATATCTAAAATGGATCCAATAAAATACATCTTCGATAAACCTGCTCTCTCTGGGAGAATAGCGAGATGGCAGATGATCCTGAAAGAATATTGTAGCGGTAGAAATGTTTAAGACTAAGCCATTGAATTGACTAGACTTGTACAAATCAAAATAAAAATCGCCGCCACGCTTTATTGGTTCCAAAGGAATGAGAAAAGAGCGAATAACCCAAAAGAGGGGTGTTGTACCCCAATTTTTGACCTAAGATCCCATTTTTATTTTTTGCATGTTTAAAGATAAGTCAAGGTCACGAAATACGGTCGGTTTTAACCTCTCACCTTCGAGCTTTGACTATGCGAAGATTGTCAAGTGTTTTGAACATTTTCAGTCTATGTATCACTAATTTCTAATCGCATACAAAGGTGTATGTTCATGTTTTCTTTTGTGTCATGTGCGGAGACAGGTCTGGATCAAGAGCATCAGATGTCGCGCCTCAATTAAGGTTTTGATTCTCCCAAGCCAGAAGTACGGTTGATTGTGGATTCTTGAAGACTGATTCATCAAGGCACACCGTTGCACCCTTAATTTCGCCCCTAATATGTTTTAGTCGCACTTTCATATCGTATTTTGTCATTTGGTCACAATCATTAGTAAATATCTTCATTCATCACATTTTGCATCATTAGTCGTATTTAAGTTGACCAGAAAAGTCAGTTTGAATCAAAGTTTGCATCGTCTTTCAGTTGTAAAATACCCGGCGTTTCACTTCATTCATTTTTATCTGTTTACTATTTTCTTGCAGTGCTCCAAGTTGTTTATATGTCAATAATAAAAATATTTTGGTTAAAAGCGATTCAATATTGTGCGAAAAGATAGCGAGAAAAATATTTCAAGTTTTCACCTCTTACCGATCATTTTATGAATCTGCATGACGCGTAGATTATGACGGTATGCTTGCTTTATTCTTTCGGTACAGTTCGAGGTCTCGTTTTTAACCGTAAATGCCTGTTTAGCCTGATATTTTAATTATCATTGTATTTCGATTTTTGACCTTGTTGAATATTTTTTTCTTTAATCTTTGTGACATGTAGATTATTTTAATGTGTTCATTTTATTTTTTCGGATAAATTTTCTTCTGTTTTTTATCATTTTTGGTCATTTTGGGTCTTTATTTTTTATTCATAAAATATTCAAAAAAATAATTTTAAATGGAGTTAATTTTAATGCATTTAGTTTTTTGGTTATTTTTATCATTTAAGGGCTTTTTGGTCATAAAAAATTATTTGTTAAACTGTGCTTTATTCTAATTGGTTGTTAGAGAGTGTAATGGATCAATCCAGAAATAGCAAATGAATTGCAAAACAGAAGTGAAATTTTTCTCTTGATCTGTCTATATAAACACTTCTTTCTTTTCTTTGTAAAGGGGGGACAACACAATAATAAACTCTTTCTTTCTCTCAAAAACCTCACTCTCATCTCCCTCTCACAACTCCTTCCACCTCCTTTGATTATCCCACCATCCTCAACATCACCTTCTGTCAAACAAAAAAGCGCACATCATCACACAAACTCCCATTCAATTCACCTACACAAAAACAAAACCCCTTCAATCCTATATTCAACTCTTTCATTTTCCTATGTGCAAAACCAAAATGGCCATTAACGCTTTTGCCCCAAAACCCACCCCACGTTCACAACAACAAAACTCCAAATAACTTTCATAACAACCCATACTCCCTTATCTTCAATCTTCACCCTCTTCTTCACTTTCCTCCGTAGACCAAGGGTGAACCCCCTGGAAATTAGTCTCTCCCCCACCAGAATTACCTTCATCGTCGCCATAACCATTATCTTCCTCACGCCAAACATCATATCAACACCATCATCCTTCAATCGTCCAGTTCCCCTGTTCCCTACATTGGATCCTATTTTTTCACCTATCACCATCATTTCTCATTAATCATAACCCCTACTTTTTCATAATTACTGTTCTTTTTTTCTTCACATCACACTACATTATTTTTTCAGATCCACATTAAATAAGTTAGAAACAACATTCAAAACTTACCACCTCCAACTTTGAAGGCTGTTTCACATATACGGTTTCTCTGGGGGTTTGCCATTCGCATTCAGCATCACAAGCATGGCATCATCATCCTCAAGCAACAGCGCAAACTACGACATGCCGTGGGTCGAGAAGTACCGCCCTAGCAAGGTCGTCGACATCGTCGGCAACGAAGACGCCGTTTCCAGATTCCAAGTCATCGCTCGTGACGGCAACATGCCCAACCTCATTTTATCAGGTCCTCCTGGAACTAGAAACACCACCAGTTCGACGGCAGTTTTTCTTGGATTGCAATGAAATTGCAGATCTTTGTGATAGTGCAGAGAGGATATTTTCTAGCGAACCAACTGTCATACAGCTTAAGGCACCAATTAAAATATTTGGTGATTTACATGGGCAGTTTGGGGATCTCATGCGCCTTTTTGATGAGTATGGTTCACCATCAACTGCCGCTGACATAGCATATATCGATTATCTATTCCTAGGAGATTATGTTGATAGGGGCCAACACAGCCTGGAAACTATAAGCCTTCTGCTCGCTTTGAAGGTTGAGTATCCAAACAATGTTCACTTAATACGTGGAAATCATGAAGCTGCAGATATTAATGCCCTTTTTGGTTTTCGAATTGAGTGCATTGAGAGGATGGGTGAGAGAGATGGAATTTGGACATGGCACCGAATAAACCGTCTGTTTAACTGGCTTCCTCTTGTGGCTCTAATTGAGAAAAAAATCATTTGCATGCACGGGGGTATTGGCTGTTCAATAAATCACTTGGAACAAATTGAGAATATTCAGCGTCCTATTATAATGGAAGCAGGATCTATTGTGCTGATGGATCTTTTATGGTCTGATCCTACAGAGAATGACAGCATGGATGACAATGAGCCGAAATCGGGGGCAAAACTGGCAATCCAATGCAGTTTTTTTGTCGAATCTCAGCGTTCATGTTTCGTGCAAACAACAACAACTCCATTTCCAATTCCATTTTGGTGAATTAGTAAGATTCAATTTCCCTATTACCTTTGCATTTAATTTCTTCCATTTGTGTTAAACTGAATATTGAAGATGTTAATTTGAGGTCATCTGTGTTTTTTTAACGATGGAGTTACGCTTGCATTGTTGTGATTGGTGCTAAAATTGAATGGAAATATTGATATCAATTTGGTGTTATGATAATGTGTGTTGAATTGGATTTTGTGGTTGTTGTCTAAGTATTTGTTCGAAATTATTGATGTCAATTTTGGTTGTTGAATCTAGTTTGAATTTTAAGGATGACATGGTCTTCTAATTTAAGTTGATTCGAGTATTGAAAATGATATTGAAATTGGATTAAATTGTTGAAGTTGAATTTGAGACTTTTCTTTGATTTTAGAGCACCGACATATTGTCGAGTTGCTGCCCGGATTTATCCTTGTTGAAACTTGCACCCCAAACTTATTTTCATCACTTTTTGGACTTAATGTAATTTTGGCATGAGTTGATTAATTTGGAATTGTCGGTGTTGATGTTGTTTTGTTGTTTAAGTTATTTTAAAATTTGTTTTTGATGATGTTTCAAATTGAATTCAATTCACAAAGTTTGTTGGTTTAATATTAGTGTTTATACATAAGGTTGAAATCACTTTGAAATTAATTTACATGAGCTTTTATGCATAATTTGTTGTTGTTCAACTTTTGATAATGCTGATTTTTGTGTGTGTTTACATTGAATAATATCATGAATTCTTGATTTGGATTTGTGTAAATATCCATTTGTTCATACACATCATACAAGTTCATTTTGACTTTTATATTTTGTGATTTCAAACTTAAATACTAATTGTTGCAATTTCCTTCATTTTAATTTTTATACCGCTTATGCTACTAACAAGTTTGTTTACTGTGAAGGTTTCCGAGAATTCATTTCAAGTATTCATACTCGCATAGCGTATTTGCACTTTTTCTTTCTCCCTTTACCTCTTTATTGTATTTCATTATTTTTATTTTATTTGGTACTGTAAATATAAACTTGTACATAATATTTTGACTGTATATTTTACTTGTAAATAAATTCAGGTTTCTTAAAAATATTATTTTTCGCATTGTGATTTTATTTCCAATTCCGACTAACTTCTAGAAATTGTGCGGACGCACACAAGTTTCCCGTGTTGTTGGTATATCTCTTGTGATGCAGGGATTCTTATCCGATATCGTGAGCTTTATCCACCGCCTTTGCGCTTTATCTGATGCTTGGAGTATTATCTCACATTAGGTTTTTTGATGATGCTGTCGGCTTGTGATTTATTTTCACCTAAGGTTTGACATACTCTTAGCTTATTTATCCGTCTGTGGTTTTAACTCCAAGGGAAAGGTTTAAATTTGTTGACTTCATGTCATCAAATACATCTCATCCGATCAAGCGAACACCCTCATTCATTTTTTCCTATTTACTATTTTTTCCAAAATTAAGTCGATTTTCCTAAAAGATTCGAATTTCAAACTCACACCCTTTAAGTCAAAACTTCGACACTAGGTCGTCGTATCTTCAAAAATATCGTCCATACCCATCTTTTAGCCAAACGAATCATTTTAATCAAACAAACAATTTTAACCCAAAAACAGATATTTCAAAAGGTTCCTGCGGAGTACCGCAGATGCATTAGGTGCTAATACCTTCTCATTGTATAACCAACCCCCGAACTCTCAATCTCTTTTAAAAATGCATTGTATTTTCATTACTTTTAAATATTAATTTACATTGCATACTTTAGGGTTTTATTTCGCTCTTTTCCCTTTTCCCTTGGAAATAATAAAGCGCGGTGGCGACTCTTGCTTTTGTGAGTCAAGTTAATTAATAGCTTGATCTCCGATTTTCACCGCTACAAGGGGGAAAGATTCTAGGTAAGGGGGTTGGTTATGCAAAGGGAAGGTATTAGCACCCTAAACATCTACGGTACTCTGCAGAAACCTCTTTGAAAAATCTGTATATTTTGGCAATAAAATATGTTGTATCTAAAATGGATGGTGGAGGTGAGAAAAGAAATATATTTTTTTATGATTTTTTGCACCCGCCGCGGTTGCGAACCTTTAGTGCCTACGTACCACCTTTCGTGCAATAGGGGATTAGGGTACACGTAGTTCCTCTTTTAAAAATTTGAAACACAAGTGTGTTAGTTGATTTTAAGAGATAAGACATCATCGTCATTGTCCGTGTGGAAAACATACTTACTACCCACAATCATGAGAAAGGAGAATTTGCATCATCTCAAAGTTGAGGATATGGCTTGGATTTTAAAATCAACAATGCCTCACTCAACACCCAAGTGGAAAATATCTCACTTCACTATATATTGTAGAAGTATAGTTGTTTTCATCACTATAAGGATTGACAAGAGTTTAATCTTTTGAGAAAAGTTTAAAGATAAAAGCCAAAGTGGCAAAACGGTTAGAAATGAGATTGATTGACTTTTAGTCTTCTCACAAAAATGTCAAGGTATTATTAAATTGATTGAAGTTTATTTATGAAAAGATTTTGAAAATGAATGGACATGAGTCCAAGTTTATTATGAAAGTGGTTCAAGTTTAGAAACAAGGAGAGATTTCAAAAAGAGGGAGAAGATTTTTGAAATTAAAGAACATGGGAGGAGAAGAAGAGACTATCCTAAAGCATAAGGTAAAAGATAAGGAGAAGAACCATCTAACCAACAAGAAGCCAATACTTGACATTATGAGTCAAGATAGAATTCACATTCTTTGGATTGAAACCAAGCAAGCAAAGATACTAGACCTCTTGAGAGAGCCAAACTTCAAGCATATTAAGTCTTCACAAAAATTGGACAGAGTAACGGCTGTATGCGGGTGAATTCCAGATTATAAACCAAGAGTGTAATCACAATAACTTGCACACAAAACAAACAAACAAACCAGTGTCAATTAAGGTCCAAGGTCTCCAACATAGGCCAAGGTTTCTAATCCTAAGTCCAAGAAGTCCAACACTCCACCATGCCAAGGATAGTAACCAAATAGTCCAAGTATCATTAAAGATTTTTATGGTTTATGTTGATTATTAAGTATCTTCAAAAAGAAAAGAAAAGCTCAAGTGAGCAAAATAAAAATGACATAAAAGTAAATGCTCAAGTGAGTAAAGATGAAAATAGCATGAAATGTAAATGCTAAATTAAAGAGTACATAAAGCATAAAAAATAAAAGCATAAAGTAAAGAGCATAAAATAAAGTCAATTGTTAGACATTAGTGGTTAGTTGGATAACCATCTTGAAACTTGCATTTAGAACTCATTAGAGGATTGGTAGAACCAAAGCCTCCACACAACAAGTTGCATTTGCTTTTTGTCAAGTATATCATCCATTTTGAAATCCTCAAAAGTAACATTTAATGATCAACGATGTTTAAGTGATCCGCATTGACCATAATGTAGATCTAAAGAATTATCCAACTTACCAAAGGTAGATCTAAAGAATTATCAAAACAACTTCAAGAATTTGCTTCAATTCAACCACAAGAATCAATTGCCCAAGCTTAGATGTAGAGAATTGATAAAGAAAAAGTGTTTGGATGAAGGTTTATCTCAAAGATTAGTAAGCTTCAATGCAAAGCTTACTAACTTTTTGAAAATGGAACTTTGAGTGAATTTGGTAGATGGAGAGAATTGAGAGATTTTTTAGCAAGGTGGATTTGGCTATCAAAAGCTTGTGATTTGAATGAAATGAGGTCTCTATTTATAGAGTTTAGGATTAGGATTAGTGGTAATTTGGTAATTTATTCTTGGAGCCAAAAATTGAATTAATGATATAATTTTCAAATTATGCAGAAAAATTGGAGCAAAAAAGATGACAGTTTCGAAATTGCTGGCTTTTTTCAAAAATCACGTGTGTTTTGCTGCTATGAGTCGACACAAGAGTTGTATGCGTCGACACATTCTAGTTGTATAACACAACATGAGTCGATGCAAGCTTCAATGGATTGATACAAGCTACTTTTTCAACTCAATACAGAATCAATCAATTTGCATGAGTCGATGCAAGCTTCTATGGGTCGATATAAGCTGATATTTCAACACAATACATAATCAATCAATTTTCATGAGTCTACACATAACATGTATGTGTCGACACATGCTAGTTATACAAAACAGGTTGAGTCGACATAAACCTCTATGGTCGATGCAAACTGCTTTTGTCAACACATTACAGAATCAATCAATTTGCATGAGTCGACACATAACATGTATGTGTCGACACATACTAAATTTTTTTTATTTTTGAAGGCTAAAAATACACTTCTTTCAAAGATTGTGCATAATACACTCTGTGCAATCGATTGCACTATGGGAGTAATTGATTCTACATGAAAACAAAAATGAAATTTTTTAATCATTATTATTTTTCTTTGCAAATAGAGATTTTAGGGAAATAATACCCGAAAACCTTATTTGTCGGATGCTTTGACTCGGTACCTACAAAACACAAATATGCAAAGGCAAAGACAAATATTTTTTGTATTTTGGTTAGAGGTTAATTATCAACGCATATACAAAATACACAACTAAGGTGCTTGGATATTCCTCAAGAGAAAACTTAAAGATAGGAGATAGAAAAAGAGGAAGAACCAAACCTAATGTGATTTTGTTATGATCAAGTTGACATGATATGATAGGGGAATCTTATGGGCAAAAATTGGGGTACAACATCTGCCCTTATTTAAGTTTCTTCTATCCGGAGATACGAAGGTTAAAAATATTCGTGTCGACGCGATCGAAGATAGTTAAATATAAAACAAACCCTATTTTTGGCCTTAAGATGCCATGCAAATGCTTATGCATATGAATGCATATGAACAGTACCAAAGAGACGCAAAATATCACTGGGGATGCAACAATGATAAAGAAACAAAGGAGCAACCCCACCAGGAAAATAAATCACCGGTGGACCCAAAGAACAGAATCAGAGAGGATAGTAGGATGGTCAAAGGACACACCAACTTCTAATGAAGGCGAA